GAGTGTGAGTGAGTGAGTGAGTGAGTGAGTGAGTGTGTGTGTGTGTGTGTTTGAGAGAGAGAGGAAGCAAGAGAGAGAAGGAGAGAGAGGCGAAATACAAAAGGCATAGTTAAAGGGAAGGTGAAAAAAATGAACCTCCAAAAACCAATTAAAGCCAGCATTATGTTAACTGATCTCAGGGGGACTGACTGCAAGGAGTCTGTGCTGCTATTTAACTTGTTTCCAAACGAGGGTGTTTCACTTGTGTATTTTACTGCAGATTGTTTATTGGCCTTGCAAAGCGAAGTGTTCGTCCTAAATGAATAATTATTAAGTTATTCACATTTGAGAAGATGGGCTTGTTCATAAATAGTAATATTAGCTGACTATTTTCACAAGTTACTGACCAGTACTGCTGTACAAAAAACATAAAATCCTAAAATAATAACACAAACTGTTATGAGTTAGTTCAGCTTCGTGAATAGGACCAGATCAAAATAAATGCATGACATTCTTACTGTGCGTAAATGCACAAGGTATACCCCGTCTGGTGCAGCAGAATACAAAAACCGCACGACTTTGCACGCTGAGCCTCGGTCAAAGTTTGATTTAATCAAAATCCAACAAGTACAGACAAGTGGGCTTTCCACTTTGAGCTTTTCACCTGGAGAAAAATACCACTGTGCCTCAGGAAAATCCTGCTCTGTTGATGCACTGCCGCCCCTGCGGTCACGCACCTGTGTGAGAACCTCTGGTCTTTTATCATAGCTCATCCTCACCAGCTGTGATCCTGACCCTCAATTCATGCACATGTTATTCCTGAAATGGTGTCTTAGAAGCTTCATGATTGTACATCACCGCCTTCATGTAGAAACTGACTCCTGATGGCAAAGCTACTGCTTTTGGTTTTTGTAAATACAGTCCTATTACATACATCTGCGCTGTCGTCACACTGTGTTTCTGTTCATAGTTTCAAACTTAATCTTTTCTGCTTTCTTATTCCACTGGGATTGACCAGTACTGTGAAAATAAAATACAAATATAGAATACGTTAATCATTCAGTACCTTGATGATAGTAGTCAGTCTACTATTATGTGATGGTTCAAAATAATTAGAAATAAAAAACAGAGGCAGTCCGAGTCTTATTGTCCCCACACATTTCAAACTACTATGCCCATTTGTACTGGTTTCTGAAGTATCCTTTTTAGGCTTTCTCCATAATAATGCTACATTATTTGAAGTGAAAGTCAAAGCCTGGCATCTGGTAATGTGGAGCATTAGCTGAGTATCACTTTTAGCCCTCATCTCAAATTACTGGTGACAAGAAAGAATCCACATCCAGCCAAGCCGGTGTTGAAATGCAGCCCTGTTGAAGCAGCCGAAACCAAAAAGGCTCGAATATTAGAAGAATTCTACCTGTATTTAAATGATAGAGACTGAATCTAAGATAGGGGTTACAGTCCTGGATCTTTTTTCTTATGAATATACAGGGAAATAAAAGCTAACCTAAATGTCCTTCAATGCTTTAACCGTATTTGGTAATAAAGTCAACATTAAACCATGTTATCAGTTGTCAAAATCACAGATTAGGTCACTGTGAATGTTACCAGTGATTCAACATCAAGCTGAGGGTGAGCTGTGCTCCACTGGAATGTGTTGTTATGTTTTTACCACAAAAGCACAGTAGTTCTGTTCTCTGGTACAATTTTAAGTGTTAATCGGTGTAAAAACAAGTATGCAAATTTGTGTGCTTCTACAACATAAGTAAGGAAAAACCTGACTGTTTTTCGAGCCCTTCCAGACCTCAAACAGATCATTTACAACCTACACACCTAACTCTGCATAAATATACGCTGCTATTCAACAGTTTCGGGAACTGCTTAGATTATTATCCATCATGCAGCACTGTCAGGGAGGCATCTGACTGGTCCCAAATTCATTTTGCAGCATGACAATAATTGCAAACGCAGAGTCACAGAGAACTAACTTCGTACAACAAGAAAAACAAGAGCTCTGCAGCAGATGGTGGCCCCCACAGGGCCCCTGTTTCTACACCACCGAATCAGTGTGGGATTTCACGAAAAAAACGGAACCAACAAAGTGTGGAAAGTTCCTCAAAATGTTTGGAACAACCTTGAATGACTGCATGCAACTCTGCCGCAGAGAAGTTGGACTGCTGTAGGGCCAGAACACATATTAATCACCATCAACGTGTGCAATCACATGTATTCTGTAATCTTGTAATGTCGTCAATTAAAGTAAGACAACAGATTACCGGCTACCGCTACGTATCTTTAGTCACCTTCAAAACAATTCAGGATCAAAAATAACACAGCATAATGCCAAGTTTCGTGCCTGATCTTGAGTGCACAACAAGTAGTCTGGCTCCACAGGAAATGAAAAGTTCAAAGCTGGAGTTTAGGTACCAGGGCCACAAATCACTGAGTGATTGTTTGTTCAATTATTCAAATGAAAACACTGACAGCTGGTGTTTCTGCCACTCACAGGGAGCAAACTCTGACAAGAAAAAAAACAGAATTACAAGTGGTTTGTGGTGCTTAAAAAAAAAAAAAAGGTTATCAATCACATCGAACGCTTTCAGTGATTACGCAGTGAAAAGTCACTGCTTTTCTGTGGCTTTCTCAAACCATTTCTGTATTAGCCTCTTCACCTTCAGTGTATGTTTCAAACAATCCTCCCGAGTTTAAATTTCAAGAAAACCTCACGATCCTCAGTGTTCACTCAATCAAAAACCTTGAAGTTTTTTGTGTCGTTTTAAATTAAGACACACTGTTTGCACTTAAGTACTGCGGCACTGAGGGAAATAAGTAGGAGTAAGTAGGTTTATCCTAATTGTCAAAGGTAATCTACAAAAACCCTCAATTTCATTTGCATTTCAGTGATGGAAATAGATACTTGATCATTTCCGTTAGGTGTTTTAAACAACAACAAAAATAAAGCTTTACCAAGTCAGGATTCGGTTTATTTCATATGCACTATCAATGAGTGAACAGTGGGGAACAGCCCCAGAACTACATGCGAGGATCAAGTTAGTGATTTCAAAGCAGCTGGTTAAACATTTGTAACAAATCACGCCGTAACGGTCTGAAATCCTGCACTGCCTGCAAAGTTGCCCTGCTCAACAAAGCCCATGATCAGGCACATGTGAAGCTGGCCAGTGAACACCTGAAGGTTTCTGATAAGACTTAATGTGTTGTGGTTGAACAATGGGACATCAATCCACTCGCTGCATTTGGGAGGACAAGAATCCTCACTATGACCTCCAAGAACACCACCCGAAACGTCACACAGGGTGGTGCAATCATCAAACTGTTGGAGTGTTTTTGTGCCAAAGGTACAGGATGACAACACAGCATTGAGTGAAAGACACAGAAACAAACACAACAATGTCATGGCGAGACCTAACCAATCTCTGGACCTTAATCCAGCAGAGGACCTATAGAGAGAAATTTAGCTTTATGTATCCAAGTCACAACGTTGAAAACTGGGATTCCAATATCTGCAAAGAGAAGCAGTCGAATATCCCTGATGAGACCTGTGCAAAGCCTGACAGCTATGCTTGCCAACAACAGTTACTGC